AATTAAAAGTACAAGAGAGCATCCCACAAATAAACCCATATGCTTCCTTCTCTTCTCACTCTCTAACATCAATCTACCAATCTCGACTTGCTATTGTCTCATTAATTACAGCATGGGTTATTGTGCATGATTGGACCACTTTGAGGAGTTGGTCTATATATGTGGGAGGGTCCAAATTATTTGGTTGGGTCATAGGTGTGGCGGATAGTAGCTAGTCGTAAGGTAGTCATCTCATATGGTCCTTATTACCATCTAATCCAATAATGAATGGTACAGTCTCAAACATCATGGATACCATCTCAACTCTATGGTGGATGGTATCATCCCAAATATCATGGGTGCCATCCAACCTTATGGTGGATGGTACCATCCAACCTTATAGTGGATGGTGCCATCCCAAATCATCATGGATATCATCCAATCCTATAGTGGATGGTGTTCATGATGACATCCAAACTCTAAGTGGATGGTGTCGTCCAAAAATAAAGATACAATCTAATCATAAATGGATAATGTCATCCCATCTCACGGTCACCATCCACAATACTAATTGAATAGTACCATCCATTTATGTTATGGTGACCATCCATTCATATGGTTACCATCCAATCTAACCTGACCACATGTTGGATGATTGTTGATGTATCTAGAGACTTACAACGACAACTGAAGGGTCCTCCATAGATGTAGTCTTAGTTATATTCACAAAGCTCTCAAGAAATCTCCATAGGAGTAGTGTAGGGTAACGAAGATTCTCCAATACTAAACACCCTCGTTCGAACAGTGTTTCAAGAGATGTGGACGGTAGTACAATCATCACCTTCATAGTAGTCAGGAGCAACTCATCCACCTGGGTTTTCACCGTTAATAATTTGGCATGCCTAGTGCAACACAAGTGTTTTTGGTATGACTTCGCGGTGGACACATCAAGAAGATGATCTTCCACAAGGTTTTGTTGATGAGGAGTGATTGGTAAATGATGAAATTGACCAAGTTGGAGAGATTTCAAGCAACAATGCCAAAGCGGAGGTGCCACCCATGGTACCAATTGCATATCTTTGTGAGGATGTAGTGTGACTCTCCCAACTCATGAAATAGCACATGCGACAGGTAAATCTTCATTTTTCTTCTTTGTATAAGCATTGTTAAGGGTGTTCAAATGGTTATCATGGTAATTACTAAACCAAATAAGTCTAAATTCTATTAATCATGGAAGACAATATCATAACCAAAATGTTCAAACTAATACAACAATCAAATTAACCAAACTAAAGTTTAAACGGTTTGCTTAATTGGTTAACCCAATTAACCAATATAGCAGCACATTATCATTAACTTCGGTCCCCTTTATTCACTTCTCCTCCTTGCTTCCACTAAATCCCTCTCCCTAGCTAGGAGTCGGAGAGTCCGGTTGATGTTCTCGTCAAGCGGTACTAAAGGCGCCGGATTGCTCCGAGTCATGCACCTCCCTGCACACACTTAAAGAAAAACACCATGTCTAGCACAAGCAAAGAACTCAAACAAACAAAGCTAAAAATTAAAAGCTAGATTAACACCAAATAACTTTTTCAAGATAACGGACCGAAGTTCCCCGACAACGGTCCCAAAAACTTGACTCGTCCCGAATATCACAACAATTTCCCACCTAAGACCCAAGTATAAACCTTAGATGGGTGCAATATAGGGAAAATATGTTTAAATATCAACTCGGTCCATTCCATGTACCCCTACTTCCATTGTTTGAAGCATTATCTAGCAGATTGGGTTTTGGTTGAAAACTATGAGATTTAAATCAAAACAAAGCAAAAGTAAAATGGTTTGAAAGCTCTAGATGAGAAGGATCACTCGGGTGTCGCTCCCCCCTAACTACTACCATGGCACGTCGACTCGAATGGGATGTTATGGGCAAGGCAATCATGAACCGCTAGGAGGTGCAACTATGGTCAAAGACCACACTCTCAATTGCCAAACCAAGGGATACATTATAGGTTACAAGAGTAGCCCTCTTGGTTAAGGCAATTAAGGGTTGACTTACCTTCTCCTCCAATCGATGGTTGGATGGCTTAATCATGATTAACCTAGTTGATAAATTCAAGATAGAGGTTTCTCCTACATTAACCTAGGTAGGTGGCTGGTCAAGCCCAAGGAATCCCAACTCAATTGAGCCTCTTTTGGAAAGGGGGGTTTCCCCTCTAACCTAGGTTAGAATGGCCAATTTGATTGCTAAGTACACACATGCACAATCATCATGAAAAATACCTCAACCATTAAATTAAACAACACCCATAAACAATCATTCAAGTCACACTACAACTACATTGCAAATAGTTAGGGTTTCATAACACCCAAGTGAAAAAGAGTACTACTCCATGCTTGTGTTGATCTTCTCTTGGGGAGATTCTTCCCAATTCACCACTTGTAGCAAAACCTAGCCTTCCAACTTCCTTGGTTCCTCCTTTCTCTCTCTAAAATATGAAGAAGAAGACACTTTCTCACTCTTGGGCTCCCCCTTCTCTTTCCTTTCAACTCACACTTTATACCAGGATTGGGCTCAGTTCACGACCTCAGTTCACGGCCGTGAACTCTTCAACCCATCCGTGAACTTGAGCACTGTGTCGAAACGCAACGCTTCACTCGCGTGATTTCACGGTTTGCACCCAAAGTTCACAGTCTTGTTGACCGTGAACTCCCCTTGCATCAGTAACTTCAGAATTCGCCCTGGACGGTTCGCGATTCACAGTTTTGGGCTTCAAGTCATTGCCATAGGAGACCGTGAACTCCAATGGAAAACCATGAACTTTGCCTGAATTACCCTCTTTGCCCGGTCTTTGCCTCTTTTCGTCCAACTTTCGACTCTGGGGCTAGTTTCACCTGTTGGATCCTGAAACATACTAAATCGCACAAAACCTAGCGTAAAACCACTCTTTTAGGAGTTCAAATACTACAAACGCCCAAGGGAAACGGGGATAAAATGTGTGCAATTTGGCCCAAATTAGAGAGAGTCTGCCTCTGTCTCTCAATCTCACGACTCACGAGTAGTCACCGCCGCCGAGTGAGGGAGAGGTGAAAGGCCTGATCAGGTCAGACTTCACAGTCTCAGGAGGAGAGTAGATGGGCCTGGACGCTGTGCTCGGCTGCTGGGCTTGGTTTATGTGTATTGGGTACGGGGAACTGATTTCATAAATAAGATTTGGGCTAATGTGATTGTGTATAACGGGTACTCATATGACCCAAACGGGTATTAACGGGTAACCGGGGGGTACATTCTCAAATCCCATCCGGCAATAAATATAATCGGTATTTGGGTACGTGTAACCCTAAAAAATGGGACGAGTATGAGTATACCCAAATACCCGTTTCACGTTGCCACCCCTAAAAAAATCCATTGTGTTCCAAGTGAGTAACTTCATTTATGCTTTACCCCTGTCCTTGGGGCAGGAACAACTACAAAAGACTTCATTTTCCTAAAGGAAACAACTATAATCCAAGGATTTTTGTACACCTCCTAATCAACTGGAGCAGGTTGAGAAGGAAACCTCCCATCATCTGGTAAGCTCCCTTCAAAAACCTCAGGTTTAGTAACTTCAGGGTTTCAGTAGCAACTGACGACCCTTTAACTATCTCAACAAAACTCGCATACTGATTTCCCATTGATGCAGGGACAATTGTATCTTCAGAACCCCCTACTGTCTCCACTTCCACCTCCTTAGTACCTGAACTTCCAACATCAATGAAAGGTGTCTCACTAATCATCACTTGTTTCCCAGCTACACTTAAAGACCCTGTGTCACAGTTTGTAACAACTGGACTTCCACATTTATTACCAACCTTCTTTTAAAGTTTACTCTTTGGGAGCCACTACTTCCCATTCATCGCCAATTTGTCACAATCGTGGCCATAGACCTCACACTTTGAACAAACAAGAGGTTTATTAAGATACTCAACCTCAATCAACCACTAAGTCGACACACACTTTAGCAAATCCTAGTTGATTTCCCACCCTAGTCGTCTAATTCATCCAAACCGGAGGCCCTACAGTACTCGATACACATTCAATATCTTCAAACAAATGATATTCCAATGGAATACCCCGAACCCAAATCGGAAGAACTTCAACCTACGAAGCCACTGCTGAATCCCATAAGCCCATTTACGAAAGTAAATTTGATTACCTTGATAGTGCCAAGGCCCCGACTGAAATACCAACTTACTTGTGGCCGCCGACGGGAATTGGAAAACCAACAATCTGAGACCAAATCTGGAAACCCGAACTGTGTCGTCTCTACCCCAAAGTCTCGTAGCCCACTGTTGAAGAAGACCAATCTTTGGAGTTGGTCCAACGAATTGCCCTATGAGGCAATCCTTCCACCACACCTCTCCTTGTTTCTTCACGTCCCGGGGAATGCGAAAACCATCATTCACCTTTTCCGGAGGATGATACTTAATCCTGTTTGTCGAAGAAATATAAAAAAAGAGATGCCCATATCTGCGCCTCTCCAGTCGGAGCAGAGGTCGACGAAGAGTCCGCCATTATGGCGAATCGAATTAGATATAGTTATTTAACTTTTATAGTATGACTTCTTAAAGTCCTTTAATTGTAAATTACATCAACTAAATTCTCTAGGTTGTATATTTTGTTTTCTCAAGTCCTTTAATCTAAAACTAAATCAATTAAGTGCTACAACTTACAAAATGTTAGTATTAACTTTTGAACAAATAATGAGTACTTTTTTCAAATGCTAATATAAACGGACAATGTTCATTTTTCATTTTAGTCCAGACAAAGTTTTCTGGAAGAGAGCAGCAAATATTGGTCATAATTTATAACAAATGGATCCCTGATTCAGCAGCAATGCATTTTCTTCACCCACTAGAACAATTCTTCCCGTTAATATTTTGAGCTTAAGTATTGTATTTCATCTTGCTTATGGCACATTTCTTATAATTCAGAAACAAATAATTTATTGAATAATTAAATCATGACAATGATTATCAAATATCAATAATGTAAAATAATAGTAATTATGATATGAGGTTGCAGGTGCAAGGTAGCGGTTATCCACAGATATCGGGGATCGGCAATTTGTGAAAGAAAGGCATCAACAAAGGAGAAGAAAAAAAGAGGCAAGGCAAGAGAAGGAAAATGATGAGTTTATTTCCCTATGCTGGTTTCAAATTAATTAGAAACAAACATTTAATGCCTAACAAGAGCATTAGAGTCTTTTGAATGCAGCTAATCTTGCTTTGGAATTGATCAAATGGCACAGCACAAGAAGGTGAATTAGCTAGAGAATTAGTTATTAGTAAGATATGTATAGGTTAATATATTTTTGTTTGTTGATTGATAACGATTTTGTAAGCACACATTATAATATTTAGGGTTCAGCGGAAGCGGAATTTTTCACCGAGTATGGGGAAGGCAGCCGATACGAGATCCAAGAAGTGGTAGGAAAAGGAAGTTATGGCGTGGTGGGGTCAGCCGTAGACACGAAAACGAAGGAAAAAGTTGCTATCAAGAAGATCAACGATGTTTTCGAACACGTCTCCGACGCGACGCGTATCCTCAGAGAAATTAAACTCCTTCGCCTGCTTCGTCACCCAGATATCGTGGAGATAAAACACATCATGCTCCCACCTTCACGTCGAGAATTCAAAGACATCTACGTTGTGTTTGAGCTGATGGAATCTGATCTTCATCAGGTGATTAAGGCCAATGATGATCTCACTCCTGAGCATTACCAGTTCTTCCTCTACCAACTTCTTCGAGGCTTAAAATATATCCATACCGGTATTAATTATTGTTCAATTAATACATACATACAGCTGATCGATCGAATTTCTCGGAACTTCTTCTTTCAACCTAGCTAATTCATGTTTCTTTTTCCCGTCTTGTAGCTAACGTATTTCACAGGGACTTAAAGCCCAAAAACATTCTTGCCAATGCTGATTGCAAGCTGAAAATATGTGATTTTGGCTTGGCTCGAGTGTCTTTCAATGATGCTCCATCAGCTATATTTTGGACGGTAATTAAGTTTTGGATCTTGAATTTATTAACCATCACTAATTAATTAAGAATTCACTCTTCACTAAGTACATACGTATGGTTCAAACAAAATTACTAGACTAATTTTTTTTCTTGTGTGAATTGAAGGACTATGTTGCGACTAGATGGTATCGTGCTCCAGAGCTTTGTGGGTCATTTTTCTCTAAAGTAAGTTGAATAATTAGTTGGCCCTTATTCTACGTTCGTTCATTTCCCACCAAGTTATAGCTTAATCCTAATTACCGGCCAATTAATATAGATTGACAGATATACAATTAATCTTTGATGGCTTCTTCTTGTGGGTTTCTTAATTAAATTAGTACACTCCAGCAATCGATATTTGGAGCATAGGATGCATATTTGCTGAAATGCTGTCTGGGAAACCACTGTTTCCTGGGAAGAACGTGGTGCATCAGTTGGATCTCATGACCGACTTGCTTGGAACCCCTCCGGTCGAATCGATTTCACGGGTGAGTGATCATTTAGGACCGGTTGAAATTGATTTTCTCAACATCTAACACCTAATTTGGCGACAGATTCGAAATGAAAAGGCAAGAAGATACCTCAGTAGTATGCGGAAGAAGCAACCAGTTCCCTTCACTCAAAAGTTCCCCAATACAGATCCTCTAGCACTCAGCTTGTTAGAACGTTTACTTGCTTTTGATCCTAAAGATCGCCCCACTGCTGAAGAGGTCAGTTTAGTTACTTGCAAGGTTGATACTATATATTATCGTGTCACGGTGGTGAGATTCATTTTATGCTGGCGATATGTTTGGTATTGCGCGACATATATAACATTTTCGAATGATCGTGATAGGCATTGGCTGATCCTTACTTCAACGGTTTGTCGAATGTGGATCGTGAACCCTCTAGTCAAACAATCTCGAAGCTAGAGTTTGAGTTCGAGAGGAGGAAAATTACCAAGGACGATGTCCGAGAGCTCATCTATAGAGAGGTATGGGTTGGTTCCACCGGTACGCTATTACAATTCAAGTTCGAGAGGAGGATAGGTTTAGAATCACACTACATTATTAATTTCGGCCTATCCATGTATGCAAACAGATTTTAGAGTACCATCCCCAGATGTTGCAAGAGTATCTTAAAGGTGGAGAACAAACTAGTTTCATGTATCCTAGGTATGATATCTAACTAACTAAAAATTGGTGCTAGAATTTTATCAAATATCTTTTTGTTTGTTTTATATTCATACCTTAATTTTATACACATAAAATTAAATTACAGTGGCGTTGATCGATTTAAGCGACAGTTTGCTCACCTTGAAGAGCATTATGGTAATGGTAAAGGTGAACGAAGCTCGCCTCTACAGAGGCAACATGCTTCATTGCCAAGGTAAAGTTAAATGAAGGAATTATCATGGTGAAACGAAGAAAACAGTAATTAGTTGAATTGACAAGTCGATCTTGTTAATCTAGGGAGCGAGTTCCTTTGCCGAAAGATGAACAAGGACAAGAGGAGAATGATTTCGAGAAACGGACAGCAGAATCTGTCGCCACCACACTCAATAGCCCTCCGGAAGGAAATGCAATCTCCGGAAAATCCAATGCTCCCAACAAAGCTAACCAACCCACCAGAAGTCTGTTGAAGAGTGCCAGTATTAGTGCTTCCAAGTGTATTGGTGTCAAGCCCAAAACAGAGGTACAGGTAATTAATACGATGAATTAATTGCTAATTAAGAACCAATATTATATAGCCACAATATATATATATATATATATATAATCTCAGTTATATTACTATTCTTCTATTGTAATTTGTACCTGCGTTATCTTTTACAGGAGGATGTTATTATGGAAGCCAGCGATGAAACTGTTAATGAGTTGGCTGGCAAGGTTGCTGCTCTCCACAACACTTGAGTTAATCATCATCAACGATATTCAAAATTTTGGAATAATTGACTTATCTAAAGGTGTGCTTTTTGAATTGATTTTATCGTATACAAAAATAATTAGAATCTTTGTATTCTTGTTGTAATTATTTCATTTTTGTTTCTGATTCTTTTGTATATCTTTTTATTTTTATTTTTTTCAACACTTCAATTTCTTGGATTCTGAACGAACTGAGATACTATTGTACTATTGAATTGCATGCGCTTGTATTATTTTCAAAGGCAAGTGGCAGGAATGGATTCTTGATTCTACTATAATTCAAGTACTAGTAGTAGTCAGATATTTCTATTAAGAGTATGAACTAAAGTGATGTTGGGTATAATACTATATCCTAACTTATAATGTACTAGCACCGACCTCCTCGCTATGCTTCGCGCATAAGCAAAAGAATAGTATTAGTGATTAGTCCGTATGAAACATAATATGATTTTAAATCTACTATGAATCATTCTATTTCTAGTGAGTAAGAAGGACAAAATTAATCAAAGCACGAATGATAATACACAAGTAAAACCAAATCGAAAAGCACTTGGTGGAATGAGATGGCAACGATAAGTTAATAACGAAGACTTATAATAATTTGTACGTAATGGCAGGGTTGGTGTCCTAAAATGCATAATACAAACTGGCCCGACATGTTGGCTTGCATGGTTTTAACTACAAAAAGGTCTGAATAGGGCAGTGTTGTAGTTGATTTATTCCCAATTTGGTTTTCTGTAGATTTTGGCAGCATGATAGTGCCAAACTGCTACGACTCCGAAGCGCTCGATCTTGACAGTGTCGTTGTCTGGGTAAGTTTTTCGCTTCGAATGTTTAGGTATGCTGGGTAACATAGTGCAGAAGCTCCTAAACGTCAGGTGTCTCAAGGCCCCATTGAGGGCTTCTTTGAAGCAATGCTGCAGCTGCTTCATACTGAGATGTAGAAGCTGTTTACGTGGAGATCAGAAGTCAATAGTAGCTATTCGTGTTGCTAGTTGTTTATATGGCTTTTGCGTACGTGCATACCCTTTTATCTTGTTTTCACGAGCTATGTTTGAGTAGCAACTAGATCAAGTATCATCTGGAAGGAGCTTTCCCTTCCAGCGTAACATTCAGGGCTTAACTAGCAAAAAAATCCAAAGAGCCAGTTGATAGTCTGAATGGTTGCTAGGCACACAGACGTTGTCCTAGTAAAGAATGATAAAGAATCAGTTAAGCCATGTTGGTACACCACCTATTCCTATTCCTATTCCAAGTGTGTTTTTTAAGGGAGCAAAAGGTATACATTACATCAAGTGGTGGATCAAGATTGAGCGCAAAGCAGTAGCCAATTCATCCAGCAATTCCTTGATTGAACGACAATGCTTGTGTGGCTGCAGTGGCCTCATTTGTTGATCGCTTCGATTTCTGTAAATATAGAATATTACCGTTCTTTAATTAGAATGCATGTAGGCAAGGCAACATGGATGTAATGTTCCGGGTAAGATAAATAGATCTTGTTGAATCAATTTTAAGTAGACTATATCGGTAGGTTGATGCATCCTCGCGTATTGGTTGATAATCAACCTTGTGCTCTTTATATTCTTCTAAAACGGTTTCCCTGCAGCATAGTAAATTTTTCTTATCTGGTACTTATAATGTTATCATTGTGTAGCAAAAGTGCTTTTTACCTCTCGAGCAACGGCCAAGCATTGCGGTGGAATTTGTTAAGACCGGCCTGTTTTGTTCATTACTAACAACAGTTGCCTCAATTATCTCGACGAAGCTTGGGTTTTTAGTTTGGTCTTTGGCTGCATATGAGAAATTGGGTTACGAATGGCGTTGTTAGTGAGGTAATTCGTAATGATAGATAGGACCTGCAGTGAGTGCGTACCAGTGGTCTTCCAGGATAATCAGATGCCTAGTCGGCGCCATTTCCTGGTGATCTTTTGCATAAGCCTTGAAGACAGCTACGAAGCACCACACTATGTCTTCCGCACATGAAAGGAAAGAAAGATCATGGTCAGATTCTGTTACGGACTTTGTGGTAGATTAGCACAATTTGAAGGGATTGCTCCTCTATTTCTTTGTCCCTCTGATATGATGTTAAGTTTGCAGAAAGAGTAATTTCATATACTCCTTGCAAAGTTGCACTGTATAAGTATGTGGTTTACACTTTCACCAGATTGTAGACATAAGCAAGACCTGTTTGGCATTGTTGCAGCCAAGCAACACCGGAAACTCAAACATATATAACTAAAAAATGCGCCAATAAATCTAACTGCATAGCAACCATAAGATATTCCCAACAGCATATGTGTTAAGGCAACGTCTTTAGGGATAAAACTATAGAGGATTTTCCTATTTTATGTACACGTTAAAACATTTCAAATGTTAATATGGTAAACAGAGGCCAGAAGTACAAAGTAAGACCCTATAAAAAAGTTGAGTAGTTGCAGCGAACCAAACAAAAGCATATCTAGCAGACAATGATAATCAAATCGAGGAGAGAGGGGAACTACAACAAGCTGGGATACTCCACAAAAAACTGTTATAGGTGAATATGCTAGGCTATTGGTGTTGTTGCTGGTACAACTTCTATGCTCATACGACCAGCAAAGACATGGACCTATAAGTGAATATTGACCTAAACAGAAGTCGGAATTCGTAATGCGTATAATCCCATGAACGACCAAGCCACAAAGGAAGCAAGGATACATGATTACCTAGTCACAAATATTCGTTATGTTCCTTCCTTCTGTAACCAACTAGACCTTCTTTGGTAGCCAGTTTAGTGGGTGTGAACGATAAGTTCAAGTTAGAAATGGCAAAGAAATAGCTAAACGAAAATCAGCTTGAAACATTGCCAGAAAAGAGAATGAAAACAATTAAGAATATATGATAACAAAGCAACTATAAAACTTAAACTATCTAGAATCCTTGCTCTAACATCCTTAAGACAGATTAATTGTCATTGAAAGGCAAAACCATACTTCTTTGTGCTGAAATAAATAAAATATGAGTCAAGCACATGGCAATTGAGGACCTTCAGCAGACTAACCCAAAAGATAAAACCTTCTAAGTAAATAATTCAACAGTTAATAGTGATAAAAAAAATAACACTGAAAGCACTAGTGACACAACAATCTGTCACTAGTGATAAAACCTTCTAAGTAAATAAAATATGATGTGGCTCTATGGCCCTGTTAGTGCAGGAAGTTAGTGGATTCCATTGGTTATTATGATTTTATGCTATAAGAGCTCTACAGGCCTGGTAACAAAAAAAAAAGATTCACAAAAGCATTTCGTATAGTCAGAATTTGGAATATTGAGTGCTCAGTGATTCTAAATCATTTGGTGATGGGGTTGAATAAAGCACACCAATCTTGTACCGCAGAGTAAATGAGAATTTTGGAAGGTCATAATCTTTTGCACTGTTTCATGCTCTCATTATATGCTTTTAGTTGGAAAGTTGAGAGTTCTCTTAAACCATGACCCGTAGATTAGGGGCATAAATAAAGCAAGCAAAAGGGAAATGTGGGGAAAGTTTACCTGTAAGAAACTATGGGTATCACATTAACATTGGGAAGAGTGAAGAAGAATGTGGGAGATCATGGTATTACACTGCCACTCTGCAGGTTTCTATTTTCATTTAGGTACTATGTTGCTAGGCTTTCGGTGTCAGTGGTACAAATTACACAACTAAAATCCAACAACCTCGATTCAGCAAATCATAGTTTCTTAGGTGGTTTATTCACTAGAGCAGTCATGATATAGTTATTAACTATCTTTTGCTTTAATGCCGATCTTGATCGTTCTGATGGCACATAGCAGATCAACTGATGCTCGGACCTTTAACTCATGGCTAATTTAAAGGGATAACATTGTTATTGCAAGTTACTGAGCAGAATTTGACCCCACTGAGCATAACAATAGACTGTAAATTATAATGGATTACTATTGACCATTTTGCATCTCTTCAGTACCTGCAGTGGTTACTAACTACGTAATTGCATGAGAGCTAGAGCATGTTGTTGATATGAAGATTCTGTAGACAGTAAGGTCCTTTAGATTACTTAACCAGTAACACATTAGGTATTTGTACACAAATAGTCAATTTACCTAGTTCTTCTCCACATGTGTATTTCTTTCTAATCCAGCTCCTATTATGCAATTATGCATGATTCACAGAATTACAATGCTCTAAACTACGATGACAAGATCTTGGATGGTTTTTATGACTTGCATGGAATATTGACTGTTTCCCGATCGGACATAATGCCTTCCGTGGTTGAGTTGCAAGGAACTCCAGTCACAGAAAGTATTACTTGGGAGGCAGTGCTGGTTGATAGGGCTGCTAATGCAAATATGCTAAAACTTGAACAGAAGGCACAAGAAATTGCTAGCAAGTTGAGATCAGAATCTGTGGCTTTTGCAGACAGCAATTTAGTCAAGAAACTAGCTGCTTTAGTTTCTAACTACATTGGGGAATCAGTTGGAGATCCTGAGAACATGTCAAGAGCATGGCACCGTCTTAGCTACAGTTTGAAAGCAACACTTGGCAGCATGGTTTTACCCTTGGGGTCTCTAACAATCAGAATGGCTCGTCATCGTGCACTGATGTTTAAGGTACACTATCCATGTTTTTATTGTGACTTTAGTATCTGATGTATAGGGTGCTATAATGTGCTACGAATGTATACAATAAACATATTATTTTTGTATGCAATGTCCCATATGATATCATGTCACTCTGCTTTTGTATATAGTAGTCACTGCCATGTGTACTATATTCTTTGCCTGTTTGTAGATCTTGTAATTTGTTGCTTCAATGCCATTTTGTTACCGTGCAATCTGCTTAATTTATCCTTTTATGTAGCCATCCTTATACTTCTATTCAAAGATCTATTGTAGGTGCAGCATCGCGATTAATTAGGTTCGTTCTTGTTCGTTACAAAATACATTTAAATTGTTATTGCAATGGTGAATTCTGAAATTGTTGGTTCAACTTTGCAACATAGAAGAATCGTTGTGTGGCTGACAAAAACAGTTTGCTTGAATCTCCTTCTACACATTTGTGGCCTATATACATTATTTTCCACATGTTCCAATATTCACTAATTCTTCATGGTTGATTAGGTTTTAGCTGATAGTGTTGGCTCACCAAGTCGGTTGGTGAAAGGACATCAGTTCACTGGTTCTGATGATGTGGTCATGAAATTCGTCAAACTTGACGATGGGAGGTAATTGCCTCACATTTCTCATTCTCTTTGTTGAATAACTTCCTGAATAAAAATGTTGCCTAACTTTGTAGTGGTGGGGTTCAATATGGTTTTGCCGCTCTCTTACTTTTAAGATGCTTTAGAATTATCATGATGTTGATAGGTAATTTCAAATTTCAGGGAGTACATTATCGATTTGATGGCAGATCCTGAGACTCTTATTCCTTCTGATGCAGCTGGATTGAACGTGGAGTATGGTGACCTTTTCTTCTCTGTCAACCCTTTGTCTATAGATAATGACTCATCTCATCTGACCTCTTCAAGTTAGAGGCGGAGGTAGGCCCTTTGGACCTTGTCCCGACACAGGGGTAAATTTAGAAGGAACAAAAATACGCCATATATATTTATATGGTGATGGAACACAACATATATAGGTAGTATTAGAGTATTTTGTCACTACAGCACAACTCATTACTTGTTCATAAATTGACAAAAAATTAATTTATTATACTATAATAGAAGTTTCAATTGCAATAAAGACCTAATCGGATCTCTTTTCTCCTTATGCCTATTCGATCTTTTCCCCAACAACCCTGAAATTGTCTATTCCACTAGTTTTGATTCTACCAATTACAAATACAAGTGTAAAAAGAGCATTTTCAGCTTTGAGTTATATTAAGAACAAGTTTCCAAGTCGATTTAGCGACCAGTTTGCTAATGCTTATTTAGTGATATACATTGAAATAAACTTATTTAATAGCGTAGACAACGAATGTTTTTGCGTTTTTTTCACTATATGAAATCCATTCGTGTTGTTTATGAAAATAATGATTTTATAGTCGATTATTTTCAATCTATGAATGAATTATTTGGATATAATTATTTTTTATTAAATAATTCTTAATTAAATACTTATATATTTATATTACGAAAAGAGGACAGGGGTGGTTTGAAATGCTGCCTCTGCCACTGCTTCCAGTAGTGGGGTGGCAAGTTGTTTAGATTCCGAGGCACTCAAAAGGAGATCCAGGGGTAGGAGCAACGCTTCTGCTCCAAGTACTTGAAGAGATGATGATAGAGCTGAAGGTCATGAATCTGTCAACTCAAGGTTTCAAATTAAAGGAAATCAAGAATCCAGGTTTGCCCCAGATGATTTTGCTAGATCTTTTGGCAGGCATAATTATCCTTATACACATGCAAGATGGCCTTCATGGACTAAAGGGATAAGCTCTCCTGCAACACGCAAGAAGAAAGTGAAAGATGTCTCAAGATACATGATCGATGCTGCCAAAGAGAATCCACAGTTTGGCTCAAAAACTTCATGATGTGCTGGTAGAAAGTGGTGTTAATGCACCACCTAGCTTGTTTACAGAATTTGAGCAGTTGAGCCTACAGTCAACTGAGGGTAAGTCCGTGATGGAAAAAGATGACGAGTTGACGACCAGAAACAGAGAACTAGAATCCAACAAATGCAAGATAACAATGATCCTAGTCCTATGCGCTTTCGGCCGCCTCTGCCTCACAAAAAAGTGCAATCCCGAGCAACTTCGGCACTGTTAAGACTATCATCCCCGGGACAGTATCCATGGTAGATGAGCCTGGTCTTGCTCGATATTTGCCACCCCTGCCTCATTAATCTAAATCTACTTCTACCGCAGAGGATCAAACAGAGCAACTTAACCATCCTTTTGTGATGTCGTCAGAGTGTGATGCAAGTCCTGTGAAAAATGTTCCTGTTGTTGCATCTTCTATGGTGGTTGCTTGCTGCCCTGACTCAAATTTGGAATTGCCTGTTGCTGGTGCAGCAGCAGCAGTCGTGGCAACAAGTGTTGTTGTCAGCAAGAAGCAGCAGGATCATGGTGTCGTATATACTAGTGTTTTGACACTTACTTTTGGTAATTTTCTTGTCAACCTTAGCTGCACACTTAAGGTTAAATGTCAATGACTTATAGTTTTCATGTTTCATTCATTTAATAAAAATGCAATGTGCATAAATTCATTTGTTATGGGTTTCATGTGACATGCCAGGTTCAAATCATGAAGCGACTTAGCATCCCAATGTGGTTCACTTCATGGGAGCAGTCACGCGTGCTCCTAATCTTTCTATTATTACAGAATTTCTTCCCAGGTGTGCTTCATGTGCAAGCAATACTTGGAACCCAAAGTTGTTATCTTTTGATTAGGCTTGGCTGCAACTACTTTTGCCTATATAGAAGGACACAGCTCTCCAGACATAGACCTTCCTCGCTTGATGTGCTTAATACAATGGTGAATGCCCTTTTTATCTGTCTTTTCTTTTTGCAGAGGTAGCTTGTATAGATTACTTCACCGCCCTAACAATCAATCAATTGGATGAGAGAAGGCGGTTGAGGATGGCACTTGATGCAGCCAGTATGATTTTAATGTTGTTGCCTTAAGTGTTTAGCTTCAATTCATCAGAATTTGGTTTTAGTAAATGAAATAAATTAATTTTCAGGCTCGAGGAATGAATTATCGTAGCCCACTCGTGATTTGAAGTCTCCAAATCTCTTGGTTCATAAAAACTGGGTTGTGAAGGTATGCAATTTTGGTCTATCAAGAATGAAACACATCACATTTCTCCATTCAAGGTCAACTGCTGGAACTGTAAGCTCATTTCTTGACCTTTTTTTTATCTTCTCTTGAGTCTTCACCGAGTGTGACTGAACTATGCATGCAGGTCAGGTGTGATGTATATAGCTATGGGGTTATACATTGGGAGCTATGTACAATGCAACAACCATGGGGAGGAATGAAACCTATGCAGGTTAGGTTGTTGGTGCGGTGGGGTCTTGAGATTCCAAATTATATGGATCCTACAGTTGCAGATATTATCCGGAGATGCTGGCAGATGTAAGTAAATATAAGACCATGTTAGTTAGTTAGTGTTCCCTGTTTAGAATCACGAATCAATTTGACATGTAACCTAGCAGTTAACTAGAAATAATGACATTATTATAATTATTACTTTTCAGAGATCCCAAATTGAGGCAGACATTTGGAGGAAGCTTTGAAGCCGCTGCAGAGGGCTATAACTAGCAAGAGCTGGTGGAGCTGATAGCAAGGGTCAATCTCCACGAGGAGGAGATCAGGCAGCAGGATAGGTCGGAAATTGCAGCTTCAGATAGAGTTGAAGAAGGGAGCGACATAGCTTCCCCCATCGCGTAACTTAGGGCAAAGAAAGCGATCAGCAGGAGATGTGGATGCGGCTGAAAGAGAGAAAGCCAAGTACAGAGTATGCGATGATTCTCAACTCTGGATTCTTCACTGTGTTATGTTGTGATCCTATTGATGTGCAGTGGAATGAATCATCTCCATTGTTAGCATCAACTTGACAATGGCAGAGCTTCTTGATTCAACTTGAAGGCCAAGGCAAGATTCAAACCAATGTGAGAAATTAGTGGCTGTCCCAAAAGCAGTTAAGGCAAGTTCTCAAGACAAAAAGAAGGAAGAATATAAACTTACCATTCAAGAAGATCTAAAGAGAGAATTGAAGAGCAACGGCTAGTTGGTGGAGGCTATAAATAGAGGCAAGACTGAATCAGTAGGTAACCTTTCAAGAGATCAACAAAGCTAGCTAAGACAAAAGGTGATTTTGTGAGAGTAGCAAGGTTGATAGGAAAGGGGGTTTTCTCAAAGGGTTCGGGGAGAATTTCTTTGAGGGACAGTGTTGGGGAAACACTGGTTTCGAGTTGCTGGGGAAGCAATTCGGGTTTGAGAAGAGAGTGTTTGATCCATCGGTTTGAGATTGATCAAAGGGTTCTTGGGTAGATAGCTTGTAACGACGAACTTCAACGCAAAATCATAGTGAATCGTCAGAGATCACACAATCGTGATTCTCCGACCGTGGAGTAGTCAGTATTGGGATCCTCTTTCTCCCAATACTGGAAACCACGTAAAAAATCGTGGACTGTCTTCTTACTCTGCATATCGGTTTCTGGTTTGTCTGCTTCTCTGTGTCTGTGTTCTGTTTGTGCAGGAAAGTTTGCCCTAGAACAGGCAAGGAAGACGATCCTCAGGACTGGGTTGGAGAACTCGTTGAGACTGGGTTTGATCTAAGTTTCATCATAGTTTTCTGGGTTTTATTTACTGCAGTGTTCTTGTTATTCTCCCTCTGTTCTTCTCTCGAACAAAAGCAGGACATCCTTTGATCGAATTCTCAAGCGGGAAAGGAAGGCTGAGTTCGATTTGAAACTCTGCCGTTTTGGATCAAACGCAGGTGGACGATTAACTGATTGGGCCAGGACTTTTCGGGCTTAAATACCACTTCTGCATTATTCAAGTAATTGGGCTTGGAAGCCCAGTCGGGTAAACGTTGGGGGTTTAATAAGTGGGCTATGCTATTAACAGTCTAAGTCAGGGTCAGTCGTATTAAATCAGTTTAGCCTAGTGAATTATTAGAGTGGTTTGATCTATCACAATACACATATAAATCAAGGTCTAAAGAAATAATTAATAGATAATTAGTCTAGGACCTCGTGCTAATCTTTATCATTGAGCTCAATTTGTGACCAAGACAGGTATAAAGTCTCGCGCTCGACGCAACCAACACGTGGTATCAGAGCACGGTCACCGTAGAACAAGGTTCAACGACCTCCGGTACTAATCGAAATGGCGTCGGGTTCCAAGAATAATGCTCCACTCTATTTGGCTGACGGATTCTCTCAAAATTGGCCTCCCAGATTTGAAGGAGTTAATTATGGGTATTGGAAAAATCGCATGGAATTATTTGTTTGATCTACAGATCCAAAACTCTGGGCTAGAGTCATCAAGGGTCCGTATGAGTTCAAGGAGGATCAAGAAAAATGGGCAGACGAGGACTTTGAGAAATTTCAGCAAAACTGCAAGGCAACTAATCTCATGTATTGTGCACTCGGTCCAGAAGAATATCACAAGGTTGCCGGTTGCAAGACTGCTAAGGAAATTTGGGATAAACTCCAGGTTACTTATGAAGGTACTTCTCAAGTCAAAACATCTCGAATTAATTCCTTAAAACAGCAATTCGAGTTGTTCAAAATGGAAGAAGGTGAAACGATCCGGCAAATGTACGAGCGTTTCACAAACATTGTGAACAGTCTGGAGAATCTTGGGAAATCATATGAAAGTGGAGATCTTGTTCGAAAAATCTTATGGAGTCTCCCAGAGCAATGGACTCCGAAGGTAACTGCAATAGAGGAAGCTAAAGACCTAGAGAAGTTAGCTATAGATGAACTCATCGGGTCATTAGCAACCCATGAAGACAAGCTCAACAAGGGAAATAATGATAAAGGGAAAAAGGGGATAGCCTTCAAGGCTATCACATACAATGAAGATACAGAAGATCTCGATGATATGGAGGATGAAGAATTGGCTCTACTAAGCAAACAAATTAGTAGACTACTTCGAGTGAGAAGAGAAAAACGAAGAGGAAACTTCATCAACAAGAATAGAGAAGTTGAGAAAGAAGGTGGTACATCAAAATATCCTCAATCAAGAACTTTCCACAAAAGCAGGATTGAACAACTTCAGCCGGTTAAGGTTCAAAACACTACCGGATGTTTTAGATGTGGGAAAACTGGACATATCAAGGCAGAATGTCCTATAGCAAGAAAAGAACGAGCTATGGCTGCAACATGGAGCTGTAGCGAAGAAGAAGATGAGGATGGAGAGGAAACAAGAGAAGAAAGCTACATGGCAATTGAGGTTGAAGAGCCATCAGAAAGACATAACTCAAACAAGGTAAAACCTTCCAACCATACTCATTTCAGTGACAGTGATTACTATAGTGATGATGATCTATTAGTATCCACTATCAAGGAAATTCAGTTAGAGTTTGGAAATGTTAAAGTAAAATACTCTAAACTGAAATATAATTATGCCAAAATAAACATTGAATATGACGAACTAAAGAAGGAGGCGATCAGATTAAAAGAAAAGTTAGATGAAACTGCTAAGAAATTTGAAGTTTTAGAAAATGAGAAATTGAGTCTCACGGCAAAACTTCAAGTATCATTAGAAGGGAATAAGATTGAATCTCTGAAAAAGGAAGGTAAATCTTACCTAAATCATTCCACTAAGGGATGTTGTGAAAAATTAGGATCAAATTCATGTAGTAAAGGTAAGTCGAAGATTTTTGGAGAATCAATAAAGCATGAGAGGAATGGTACATTAACACAAAGGTATAGAAACATAGAATGTTTTTATTGTCATAAATTTGGGCACATTAGGCGAGTATGCAGAAAGAGAATACAAAATGAAAAATATAGAACTTGTCTTACTTGTCATCAAGTCGGTCACATTAGTAGATTTTGTTCTCTTAAAGATCACAAACAAACTGTATCCAAGAAAGTCTGGATACAAAAACCCAAAACTGCATGACTGCTAATGGCGCAGGTTTGCTTCCAAGTGAGCATGGAGGCAACTGAATGGATACTAGACAGTGGATGCTCACACCACATGACGGGAAATCGAGACCTATTCACCACACTCAAAGAAGGTAAAGGTGGTAAGGTATTTTTTGGTGACCATAATTCTGCCGACATAATAGGAAGAGGAATAGTTGGTTCAGATCCACGCATTGAAAATGTGATGTTAGTAAAAGGTCTAAAGCATAATCTGTTCTCTATTAGTCAAATGTGTGGCAAAGATAAGAGGATAATTTTTGAACATGATTGTTGCTACATCGAGTCATTGGTGGATAAGAAAGTGCTTTTCACCGGTAGACGTAAAAATAAGTTATATGTCATAAATCTAGATGATAAAGAAAGTTTTAAGGTAACCTGTCTAATGTCTTTAGAGAAAAATGATCAAATAGATTGGCATAGGAAGCTTGGTCATGTCAGTATAGGAATTCTGTCTAAACTAAGTGACCTTGAGCTAGTTAAAGGTCTACCTAAGTTAAAAAGCAAGAAGGAATTCTTTTGTGGTGCGTGTGCTAAAGGAAAGCATACAAGGTCTAGCTTCAAGAGTAAGACGGTAATATCCACAACAAGACCTCTTGAACTACTTCACCTTGATCTCTTCGGACCTACCAATGTGGTAAGCTATGGAGGTAAGTCTTATGCTTTCGTAATTGTGGATGATTATTCTCGTTTCACTTGGGTATTGTTTCTAGCTAGCAAAAGTGAAGCTTTTCAAAATTTTGAGTCACTAACTAGGAAATTGGAAAATGAAAAGCAATCTAAGGTTGCTAGCATTAGAAGTGATCATGGTGGAGAATTTATCTCAGAAGAGTTTGAACTTTTCTGCAATAAGCTAGGAATAAGTCACAATTTTTCTTCTCCTCGAACTCCGCAACAAAATGGAGTGGTGGAAAGGAAAAATCGGACTTTGATTGATATAGCCCGAACAATGTTACATGACTATGGTTTGCCTAAGTACTTCTGGGCTGAAGCCATAAATACTGCATGCTATATTGCTAATCGAGCTTTGATCAGATCTGGAATTAAGAAGACTCATTATGAGATTTGGAGAGGAAGAAAACCAAATCTGAGTTACTTCCATCCCTTTGGTTGCAAATGCTTTGCATTAAACACCAAAGATCATCTTGGGAAGTTTGACGCCAAGTCCGATGAATGTGTGTTTTTAGGCTATTCCATGACTAGCAGAGCATATAGAATATTCAACAAAAGGACTCTCAAAGTGGAAGAGTCCATAAATGTGATATTTGATGAATCTGTTAATGAGTGTTCAGATGAGATAGATGAAGATGACTTTGGACTTGGTGGGAGCTATGATCTACCAAGGACATCAAACACGGAGAAATCTGAACCCAGAACGATCATATCTGAAGATCAAGATAAAGCAGTAAGTACCACTAACTCTTCGATCGAGGAAGACCATGATGTAAGGAAACCTCCTCCACACATTGCTAAACGTCATCCTTCTTCACTTATGATAGGAGGGCTAAATGAAGGTATGATCACTCGCTCTAGAAATTCAATTGTGCATACTGCTTTTGTGTCATTGGTTGAACCTAAAAACGTGATAGATGCCTTGAATGATGAAAACTGGAATGCTGCTATGAATGAAGAAATGGGTCAGTTTGAACGAGCTAATGTGTGGGAGTTGGTACCCAGACCACCTAATAGAGTTATTATCGGGACTAAGTGGATCTATAAGATCAAGTCTAATGAAAATGGGGTAGCAACTAGAAACAGGGCTAGGTTAGTGGCTAAAGGGTATAATCA